GGCCACTGGAAACCCATGAAGCAGCATGCTCAGGCACTGCCCCATGGGAAGAGGAAACTGAGCCCTTGCAGTATCAGAAGGGTGGCAGTGTGACTGGCTTTGCAGCCACATGGCTGATAGCAAAATGCAAGGCCATGGATAACCCATGTAATATTTACCAAAATATCTTGCTATGCAGAGCAAGTTCATGATGTACTTTCAGCTTGCTCTGGTTTAGGCCTCTGTCTGTACATGCTTAACTTGGAGAGAAAAAAGCAAATGAATGAGGGGGGAAAAAAACACCTTGCACAAGCACAGGGTGAAAAAAAATTTATCTGTAAGATTTTGTGTTGCATAAGTGCCCCTGGAAATAATCTGGTACATCTCCAAATAAAACAAAAATCTTTTATGCTTTTAAGTTTCTGTGTGGAATGACAGTGGTTCTGTGTTTGGTTACTCTGTAAATGTTTGCTGTAGATACTATCAATGGGGATATTTTATTTAAAGGAATGTACTAAAGTTTAAAGCAAAGAAACTCCTCCCCTAGCCTGTGAACACAACAACTACAACAATTAGGTAGTAAAAACTGAATTGAAAGTAGTCTTAGGTGTTAAGCTGTGGGTTTTATCGGTGAGCTGGAACAAAAACATGTCCAGGGCACAGCATACCCTGAGTTGGATAATGAGCTCTCACTGAAAGCCCCAGCAGTCAGCAAACACCAGCCAGAGTTTTGTCTGAGGTACAGCCCATTATTGCTGAATTACTGGTTTTCTGTGTTGAGGAGGTTTGAAGACTTGGTGGTGGCTCACCATCTTCTTTTACTTGGTATCACCTGCTGGTTTGGAGAACAGGAGAAAAACCCCCTGCACTGCCCTCAGGCTTTGATCTGCACTTCAGCCTTCCTTAGCTCGTTCATTTCCTCAGAGTTTGTACTGGGAAGGGTGTTGATGATGAGCAGGATAAGCTGCTAACACCATCCCTTCTGCAGAGCGCAGCAAGTCTCATCATCCAGCAGGAAGAATAAAAACATAATGCTATGAAAATGGAAATGGTTAGGTCTCCTCGGACTGGAACAACATTACAGCCTATGTCTGGTGTCAGATTCCGGTATGGATTAAAGTAGCCCAAACTTCTGGTCCACAGTGAAGCAAATATGGAAGAGAGATTGGAATAGCTGCGCAAAGGCTTGTTTCCAAGTACAACTAATTCAAATTTATTATTCCCATGCTGTGAAAACTTCCAACATCTACTTAAGTTTTTCTTCTGATGGGAAATTTCAAAATGTCTACATTTCATTTCACTTTTTCCACCAAAGAAAAAGCCTGCTAGCAGGAAGCCTAGCAGGTTGCCAAAAGCAAGTCATTTGACATACAAGGTTTTTTTAAAGCTCCTGTCCAGCCAAAAGTTTTTTAAACCATGTTTCCATAGGACAATTGTAGTGATGAATCTTTCTTTTTCAGTGAAACATTGTTGCACTGGCTAGCTGGAGTGCAGATCTTTGTAAAATACATTCATTTAAATGTGTCTAAAAAGTTTACTGTGTGTGCTTGGACCAAGGACTTCATTGGCATGCCAGAGGAGTTACCCCAGATTAACAGCAGCAAGGCAGGAGGTTTGAAATGTGGAAGCTTGTAATCGCTAAAAGGAGGCGAATTGTCATCTTGTTCAGCTAATATTAAGTATTGATCTGCCTATACTTATTTTCTATCAAGAAAGGGAGGATACTTCTGCCAAAATTTTCAAAGATTCTGGAAGATGATGTACTCAATAGGTTGTAAGATATAATCGCATCTAGTTTTGAGTGTTCTTAGAAACTTGCTGATTTAAAATGGATTTTTAGATCCGATTCCACATGATGGTCTTATGTTCCAGGAATTGCTAGTGTCCATGAAAAAGTGAGGAGGCCATGGAATAATAATTTTCTATCCCACATTACATATATGACTTTTACAACCACATATTCTAAGGATTTCATCACAGTCTCTTGATCCCTTTCTGAAGCCCTTTATGTCAGTAAGAAGCAGAGCTTGCCTTCACCTCCAGAAAGGAGCCTCTGCTCATAAGTGGTGGGTACTTTACCTTCTTCCCTTAGAGTCAGCAATATTTGGACTGTAGCTGCAGAGGGGTGATTGAGGGAACCATAGGGACTATATTGTCTCCTATCTTTGGCTTCATTTCCAGAGATGCCATGGAACCTGTGTTCCCTTGAGTATAGAATGCCAAAGGTTGTAGATCCAAACGTTAGTGACCAGATCTGGAAATGTTGCTCTGAGCATGCCATTAGAGCATACACCTGTACTTTGGCTGGCTGTAACAGGGAGATGGGAGAAGAGGGCAGTGGAAGGAGGGCAATGAGGTTTTTAGTTTACAACAGATATTGGTATATAAAGGTTGAACTTAAGACATTGCGTATGAAGGCCATTCATCAACTGTACCATGGCACCTAACCATCCTCCAAACTGCAAAAACACTTATTTTACCTGTTAAATTCTATAGTATTATACTTTGTTTATTTTTGTGTTCTGCAAAGTGTAAAAGAGTGCAAAAGTATTACTCTTGTTTGCATAGGAACCAAACCAAAACAAGTCCTTTCATGACTGTGTTTTCTTTGCCTGGTCAGGCACTCCAGGTGAGGGCATGTGCTCCTTTCATATCTTGATTAAAGCAGTTCTAGAAAAAGCAGCATGCATAGTCCTGCAACTTTGGAGGGATTAGGGCTGTTACAGGTGAGTCCTATTCTGTTGCTTGTCAAATGGAGCCATGCAATGGATCATTTATCTGGTGTCAGCAGCTGAAACTTGCATGAGAAGGAGCTGTTTCTAGCAGTGACAAAAGGAAGCCTATCACAAATGTGTAAAACATGCATGTAACCCAAAACCTTGTATTTCTATTACTGTTAGAATGTTGCTCCAAGAACCAAATGAAGTCATGAATGTTGTTTCGGCGATATCTTAGCTTAGGATATGTCAGTGCTTAAAAATAATTTATATAAAAATTAAATAGCAAAAAAGTGTTTTAAAGTTGTTGTAGTGCCAACGGGAGGTCAGCAGGGTGTGAGCGGTGTTCCTGCGTCTCTGGATATCCCAGATATGTAAAATACACACGGTTCTGTGGCACTCTGGCAATATCCTTTCCACACCACAGAGACGCATTACCTGTTGTTGACCCAGACGTCAAAGTGTCAGCAGCCAACACTGTCATGACAGATAACCACTGTCATTCCCACTGCTGATGGGGAGTTGTCATTGAGATGCTGCCAACCAGACTTGCAGAGGAAGTTTCCTGTGATGTTGAGATCCCAAGTCTCTTGACCAGTAGCTCAATGCACATGTTGTTCAGAGCTATTATCTTGCAGTGTTACACAGTTCCAATAAAGTACATTGCAACTATGTTAGTGGTGTATTTTGACAAAATCTTTCAACATGAAGCATAGTTTAATCCAGATAAGATTAAAAATCTTTCCAATATATATATATATATTAAAAACTATAAAAAAGGAGGGGAAAAAACCCTCAAAACTCACCAAAAGAGATGCACTTTTTTCTCATTCAAGGACAAGGTTTTGTTATCCACACAGATGGTGGGGAAAAGTAGCCTCTTTTCTCTCGAGCTGCTGTGAGCCGCCACGCTGCAGGAGGGATGTACTTGTGCTAGGGAAGATGTACATAGATGGTGTGGGCTTCCCAGTGTTTAGCTTCATCCCATGGTGTGCAGAAGAAGGGAAAGTATTAGTCTATCCTATCTGTCTTGTGTGGCTGTACTGCACAGAGTGACTGCTCTGTCACCTGGAAAGGGAAGCCTTTTCCAATTAATAATCCACCCCAAAGCTGCCATGCTTACTGAAATCATGTATGCTCCTTTACCTTGACGGATTTTGAATTTATGCTGAAGACCAGCATAACACACGCCTCCCTGTCACTCTCCAAGTGCTCGGCTTGCACACTCCTGGGAGCTTTGCACTTGCTCTTTATAAGCAGCACTGAAAGTCAGCAAAGTCCTGGGGGAACGACAAGAACCAAGCAGCTCTTGTCGGCAACAGTGTTTGGGAAGGGTAAGAAAAGATCCAATTTTATCTTAGTTCTCATGGAAAGTGTCACAGGATGTTTAATGTCCTTTCTGAGCAAAGACCTGCTGTTTTCCAGATCTCGCCTGAAAACACATGCAGTATTCAGCAAGCCACTTAGTTTATCTTTCTTGGATAAACAGAAGGCTGCTGGAATTTGAAACTTGTTCCAAGAGTCTAGGGTCCAAATCTCTGTGAGTCCTTCCCCTGGTCTGGGGTTTTGAACTGTTTGAAAATTTAAAGACTAGCAAGCGATGGCAGCATGACTCCTAATGGCGTATGGGGTATGCAGGGTTGGTGTATGTGACAGAGGGCCATCCCTATCCTGAAGTTTTGGTGTTATTTCCACTCTCGAGTGTAGCCTGACTTTGCAACAGGTTAAAAATACTTTATGAAATGCCAGAGAGCACTGATCCACAAATCCCAGTGCAGACTTTGCCTCGAATGGGGGCGGGGGGGGGGCACCGGGAAAGCCCTCCTAATGCGATGAAAGCACCCGTGGCACTGGTGAGACGCGGTTTTCGCTTTTCTTGTCGGTGAAGGTACCACGAAGGAGGGACTCCGATGGCAGCTTGAGGGAGCCGGGCGAGGAGAAGCACCCGGCAGAGCCCACCGGAGAGGGGACCCGGTCGGTCAGGTGGGCGGCCAAGGAAGCTGTGGGGTGGGGGCTGAGCCGAACCCGAGCCCTTCCCCGCCCGCTGCGCTGGGGGCCGCGGTCACTGCCGCGCCGGCACCACCCGCCCCGGGCCCGCGGAGCCGCCGCCCCCCGGGCAGCACAGGAGGCCGTGGGGCTCCTGCCGGCGCCGCAGCCTGCAGGTAGGGGCCGTGAGGGGCGGCGGGGCTCGTCCCGGGAAAAGCGAGGAGGGAGACGGGGAGTGACCCCGCGGGGCAGCGCGGTTCGGGGGCGCGGAGCGGGGCGGGCAGCGCGGACCGGGCTTCAGCCTGGTCGCTCCCGTACCCTGCCTTAGAACTGCGGAAACACTGGGAAATAAGTGAAAATCACTTTAAATGCCACTGTTTAATTAAGAAACTGTATCTACGTGGATACATATATATATATGTATATATTAAAAAGCTGTTGGTAAGGTGAGATGCTGGTCAGTTAAAGAGTAAACAGCGTTTCAAGTTGCTAGAGGTACGAGGAAACTCAATCATCTTTTATTTATGTTGCATAAACAGAATAAGTGTACCTGTTCAGAGGCGGGTGTGAGAGGCTGTGCTGTGCCTCATCGCCGTCCGGTGCGTGCGGACTCGCGGCTGTCACCGGGATCCCCACGGCTGTGTGTGTGTGCCAGAGGCTCCCAGAAGAGCTCCAAAAACCCAGGCTCAGACTGCTCAGTGACAGGCTAGAGAGCTGGCCTGTGGCCTTCCCCAGAAATAAGTCAGCTGCGGAAGTAGGTAATCACAGTGATCCTTATCCTGAATGGCCTTGATATTTCTTCTGGGATATTAATATAGTTCATTTCCAGGAGAATTCTTAGTCCCTTGTAGGACTTAGCCAGGTGTGCAGTAATTGGCTCAGGCTAAATGGTATTGTTGGCATGCCTTGCAGGAAATTTTGTGTTCACAGGCTAAGTTCAGAGAAACTATCCAATGAAAAAAAAAAAGCCCAGAAATATGAGTATTATCCTTATTTAGAATTTTCTGATAATTTGCCATTCATTTATTGACTTGTTCTGTTTAATATCTCTGGGAGTAAGTAAGTAATTAGGTATTTGGGATGAGTTTGGGTTTGTGTGATTTCTGACTGAAATGATTTCATTAAGTTAACAAGCTGGTTGGGGCAGTGAGTGTGTTTGTTGTTGTTAGTCTGCTCCTGCAGTGGCAATGAGGAAACATTTCCGTTAGTGCTGGGAAATTGGAGGATAACTTGGAACTTAATGAAGTGAAACAGGATTGCATTTTGCTCAGTGATCCTATTACGCCTGAGTTAGGGCCATGTTATTGCTCACCTCAAATCATTAACTATTATTGCCTTTTCACATCTGTTTTTTTAGCTATATATAGGTCATTATGTGGTTTTGGTTTATATTTTTTCAGATGTATTATTTTTGGTTTTTACTTTTCCATCTTTTGCAGCAGTGTAACAGAAGCTCTGTTTTAATGGAAAGTTTCTCTGGGCTTAGGGTTTTCCATGTTAATCCCTTTAAAATTCAATCGTTAACTTCTGCCTTAACCTCAAGCTGGAAAGTGACAATGAAAGATAACATAGCACAGTGTGTAATTTCATTTTACAAAGTTTTATCAGAATTGATTCAACTGATGTGTAAACAGGAGAAACCTCAGGAACTTTCTTTTTTCCTCAGCATGCACATGCACTTCAGCTTCAGGCTGTACACTATTTACCTGACAAGTGTTTTGCTACAGGATGTCTCCTGACTGATTGGATTTGCTGAGTTGGTTCTTGTCTGCAACTGTGAGGAAGGGGACTAGGACACCCCCAGGGATCCCGTCCACATCTGTATTCTCAGGCCAAGGTCCTACAGACAGGGCACAGAGGGGGAAGATTTTTCAGATGTTTTGGTGCAAACACAATTTCTTCCCGAGGGATAAATTTGGCATGTGTTTCCTGAGAGAACCGTGCTTGCGTAAGCAGCCCCCTACCACCCTCTGAGCTGTGCTAGTACAACCATTTGTGGGGATGGTGGTGAGTTGCACTGGAGGAACTGCAGTGGATTCAAAAGCACCTTTTCTTCCTTTTTATCAATTACTTTTAACTCTGAATTGTCTGACCGTGTGGCTGCTGTGTCAGGGCTGAGAAGGTGGCCAGGAAGGAGGGAACGTGTGGCAGGGAGCAGGAGGTAAGGGCTGTTTCTGCCAGCATCACTGCTGCTGAAAGAAGTAATTGCTTATCAAATTGTGGTTTGTGGTAGATGACATGTGGTTAAGGCAGTTGCCTGCAAAACATAGCTGAATGCTCAGATATCTCAGTCATGTGCACATGCAGTTGGATGTATACGCAAAGATCTGATTTTGTGTTTCTATCATAATTCTGAGTTTTCACCTAATGATTTTACTTTTGTGATGTATATCTGTGAGTGTAAATTCAGGATACATTCTCTATCTACTCTCTCTTCTAGTATGAGCATTTCAAAAGACCATTTTTCTGGAAAATAGACCTAGACATCATCAGGCTATGTTATTAATCAGATCATATTTACCTGGATAGGTGAATACCTAAAATTCTAAAAGGGAAGATTGAACCGGCCCTAAAAGAGTGCCTCTGGTCCTAGAGCATAATTGTCACCTGTACTCTCTTTTAGATGTATATAAAATGTTAAATATACTTTTGAATGTAGAGTAGACCTGTGAAATTATGAATGACAGAAATGATTAGGCGAATAGCATTTTTAAGTGGTATGGTGAGACTGAGAAGTCAGTGGAGTGTAAGCTTGTTATAATCTCCTACTATTTATTTTAATCTGGAAAGCATTGATGCTTTTGTGCATTGTTTTAGGACTTGTTTTCATTCCTACTTTAGATAATTTGTTTCTGTCATGATCCTATTGTAGCGAGAAAGAAATCACAGCACATTGTTTGTGTAGGACGTGTGCATATTGAGAGAATGGTGGTACACTCTCTTGTTCACAAAACTTGAGAGACTAATTACTTTCTATGATGGTCTTTATTCAACAGAGAAAAATCATAGACCTTTTCTTCCAACCTAACCCAAGAAACTATATAGAAGTTATTGCCAACCTGCAGTGTGGAGAGATTTGGAAAGGTATGGTTTTTAAAAACCAAAACTGTAGACATCTAAGCTAATAACTCAGTTTTTTGTTACTGAAAATGAAAATGATTCCTATTCAGCTTATTGAACTGCAAAGATAGCTTTGTTTTCCTCTCTGGAAGCTGAACTTGCTGTGATGTGGGATGTGGAAGAGCTGTTGCCAATAGGACTGTATGCCGAGTCAATTGTTCTGGATGAAGATACCCAGGTGAAGACTGTCTTTTATTAGATTGGCTCCTTGTCTCTCTTAGGCTTGTAGGACTCTGGATATAACTACATACAGGGCAACCTATGATCTTCCAAATATGAAATCTTTGTTGCTCGTCCTCCTGTTTTTGCAGGAAGCATTCTCCATTTTCAGTACTGTAAGGTGGGTGGTGCTGTATGCCCAGCTGCTCAGGTGGCACAGTCTGGTACAGTCATAGATTCCATGGTACCACAGCTCGAGTCCACACAATTCAGGTATAGCCAGAAGGCATTACAATATCCTTCCTTGCACTGTAAAAGCAAAATCCATCACTTTTGTCTGCAGAGCATTTTAAGCTGTGCAGGCCCCTGAGGCAACAGATCCGCGTTTCAGCAGCAAGATAACTTATTAGTTGTTAAGATTAGCCAGCAGTTTGTGGCAGATTTCTTCCCCAGAGCCTGCAGCAGCTGAGAATTGTAGAACTGGCTTGAGGGGATGTGACAATATATTTTATTAGTGAGTGGGGTTGATCTTAGTCTTCATTAGTAAAACTCTGTTGGCTACTTTGCATATAGTACAAAAGCTACTGAATAGTTGTTTCTCAGCTGCAGTTCAGTGTTGGAGAACTACAGGTTATCCAGGATATTCTTGCTGCTTTTCTATGGGACTCGAAATGAATGGAGCACCACTTTTTGTTGGTATTTGGTTTAGATGTGATATTTATTAGTTTCTCCTTGTTTCATTTGATAGGATAATGGAGTGAGAAGGAAGTAAATGAAGTAGTCTTTAGTGTTTGCAATTAGACAATATCACCTGTTTTCCATAGAAGGATTGTTGGTCTCTTTTTTTCCCATTTCTGATGTTTTATTGTAGGATGATTTTGTGGGCTTTAATGTAAATGCTGTCTCAGAGCATTATGTAAATAACAGAGAAGAATGAAGCAACTGTATTTTTTTATGTGTGTTTTATGTCTTATTTATGTGGGGGATGTAAACCCACGCTTATATGCACCAGGGCTACATAGGCTTACATTTTGCATCAACCAGCAAGTTGCTAATGTGTTTAAGTGAATAGGATTAAAAATTAATGTAAAAAACAAGGCATCTGAGATAATCTAGGCTTCTTTTACTATTAAATATTATTTTTTTACCTTTTCTGGCTCCCCAGAATCTATTCAGTTTCTGGGGAATCTTGCCCTTGAATGCTTTTTGAGTGGTAAGTACATTAGTTGCTGCTGGAGGATTGTCAAAAGTGTCCAGAAATAATGATAATGGGCAGTCCTAGACCATATGCGGCTTTTTATTTATAATGCACATTATCATTCTTTTAACTTATTAGCAGATAATTTATGGAGAACCAATTTGTCACCCTTTTCCTTCCAACTCTCCAAGCCTTTCGTGCAATTTGTGAGTGCCTGGGAATTACAAATTTTTCTTCTGCTAGATGATAGCTGACCTGTCCTTGTCAGAAGAAATGTCTCTTCTGGTCTTGCCATTACCATCAAAATTATATCCCTATCTTGCCAAGGGGCATGAACAAACTTCTGAGATTCCTCAGCTATCACAGTTTGCCAGTGTACTTGCCTACATACCCTTTATACTTCTTTTCTGCTGGGGTAGCAATGTACCTCATGTTCGGAAGCTTTTCTTAAATTCATTTAAATGATTAGGTAAGAGGGCAGATGAAAATATGGCAAAAGAAATTTCAGTTCTTCATTAAAAAGTCAGAAGCAAAGTTCCTGATAGGAGACAAATAGAAAAAGAAAACATTTTATTGGGATATTTAAAAAATCAGAGTAATTTCCCAGCCATTGCAGAAGATCCTAGAGGCAAGTTTTGAGTACAAACCCAGAGATGATGTTTTAGCTAGGAACCACCAAACTCCTGCATCCCCTTTTCTGAATAGAACCTAAAAATATTTTTGAAGTTGGGAACTCAGCTCCTCATCTTCAGTCTTCAGCAGGACAGTGCTGACCTCTTTCTCTCCCTTTGTTCAAGAAAGGAAGTTTCCCACCTTGCACTTCCTCCCCCCCTGCCCCCCCTCCCCTTAACTCAAAGCTTCCTTCCTTCCTGCAATTTCTGGATTGCTCCCAGTGATGATGGGATGATTCATATTTCCCCAGATGTGAAATGTTAATGTGGGAAGTGGGATCTTTCCTCTGCCTCTCCAGGGGTTTCTCAGAGCCTGTGCTGCTGAGTTTCTTAATTAAAAAGTTTCTCCTTATTCAAATGGTTTTCCTGATGGCCACAGTGTTTGGGGGGCTGTTACAGTACTTAATAAGTCATGTCTCAGAGTGTTCATTGTAAATGCATCTTAAACTTGGCTGGCTTCAAGAGCTTCTTGAAAACCACACAAAAGTTAATAATTTAGTCTGTAGACATAGTCAAATACCTTCTCCTCCTCCTGTCTGTTTTAGGGCTTGTCTTTTCAAGTTGACATGTTTGACAATATCAAGATTTTTTGACAGAGGTGTGTTTAGAGCTTGTTCATGCAGCCTGCTGGTTGGTGCACAGTTGAGAAGGTGGTAGTACAGGCCCGTGCTGCTTGTTTGTAGTCACTGTCCTGGCTCCTCCTCTCTGTTCTGTGATCATTTGCTGATCCTGCAACGGACTATGGATTCCATGTTTGCATCACTCCTATGCATTCCCCAAGGTACCAGAGTACTTGGTTTGGTCATTTCTTGACTTTGTGTTTATTCCTCCAGAGCCCCCTGATGAGCCCTTCAAGCTCATCACCTTTATTTCCCCATAAAAGTCAATAAAAGAACAGGGAAAGGAAGAGTTGAAATAGGAAGAGTCAAAACCAAAATGGTTCCATGTTCAAGGCATGTGCCAGCTTCACCTTTCTGTAATTAAAATGCTGCATCCAGTCTCTCAGCTACTGAGCTTGAAATTTTCTGGGCCAGGGACATTACACTCAGCCTTGCCTATACAGCTGTGCCTCAGTGTCAGTGTTCAATAAATACCTATAGTTGCTTTTAGAATGTGCTGCAGCACTGAACTTGGTGGGAATAGAGACTTCCCTTTTCATCATATGGGCTAACTGCTGTGAGTTGGCCCTTAAATAATCTATTTGATGTGCTATTGCTGTTTGAATGTGCTGATGTTGTTACACTTCTCATTAGCAGTAACATTCAACATTTCTGGTAAACATGCTGAAACATTGCAGCCTTCCAGTTACAATCCTGTCAGTTTGGATAACAAGCCACTGCCTATCTGTTCTCACCATGATCTTGTCCTGTGCTGCCACATGTTCCTGGAGAGTTCTCTCTCTCTTGATTGTATATCTTGGCAACCCGGCTTTCATGCAAACATCTCCTCAAGTTTCACTTTTTTCCATAAAAGCTTGAAAGCTACACTACCTGACCTGCTTAATCTAACAAGCCAACACTACTTGTTTCAGCTAAAGACCAGAGGTATGTGGGAAGCTGCTTCATAAAGTGTCCTCTTGTATGTTTGTTGACTCCCTTTTTCTCTCTTTCTAAACTTCTGCAATAACGTTTTTTAATTTACTTAGTCTGAATGGTCCTTGGGGCAGCTATAGTGTGATACCGGCAGCAGCAAGCCAAAGTGCATTTTTTAAAGGGATTGAAAAAGTTCTCCTGTGGACAGAGAGAATATTAGAATGGAAATCAGCTGAGCAAGAAGAACCAGCCAAGAGGAGCAGTACTTTCCCTCTTGAAAGGACTGAGTCAATACAAAGACCAGGTAGTTTCTTCACTTGAGTGATATCAAAGCTGGAGCGTTTTGTATGAAAGGTGTTTTCATTATTACGTATAGAATTATTGTTTTCTGTTTCCTCAGCTAAAGTAGTTAAGACTATTTCTCTGTGCATCTGATATTTTGTATTAAAAGTGGCCCAAATATTTTATTTGGGAAATGGAG